TGCGGGCTCGGGCCCCTCGGTAGAGGATGAGGAGGCTCAGGAAATGCACCAGGAACTGCAGCAGCACCGTCAGCACCGTGTACAGGTTGAAGATGTTGGGAAGGGGCCTCTCCTTGGAAAGGGTCTTCAAAGGCTGGGAATTCCATGTGGGAATAAAGAGAAAAAAAACAGGGAATGATTTGGGAATAAAAGCAGGGAAGGTTCTCCCAAAATTGGGAATTTTATCTGGGGGAAAAATGAGATTTTCCAAGGGGGTGGAAAAAACCCCCTGGAAGGGTTCAGGGAAAAGGGGGAATTCCAGGGAATTCTTGGAAAGGGTTCTTCAAAGGCTGGGAATTCCATGTGGGAATAAATAGAAAAAAAACAGGGAATGATTTGGGAATAAAAGCAGGGAAGGACTCGGGAAGGTTCTCCCAAAATTGGGAATTTTATCTGGGAAAAATGAGATTTTCAAGGGGTTGGGAAAAACCCCCCTGGAAGGGTTCAGGGAAAAGGGGGAATTCCATGGAATTCTTGGAAAGGGTTCTTCAAAGGCTGGGAATTCCATGTGGGAATAAAGAGAAAAAAACAGGGAATGATTTGGGAATAAAAGCAGGGAAGGACTCGGGAAGGTTCTCCCAAAATTCCCACCCAGGGGGTGGGAAAAACCCCCTGGAAGGGTTCAGGGAAAAGGGGGAATTCCAGGGAATTCCCAGCTGGAAGTGGGGAATTGGAGGTGTTGGGTTGGTTGTTTTTTTCCCAAATCCAAGGGGATAACAATTCCCAGCCATCCCGGGATGAGGGATTGGGAATTTACCACCACAAAAAAAATGGGATTTTGGGGGGCAAAAAGGCACTTTTTGACTCATCCTGGTGGGAAAAACCGACATTCCACGGAATTCTCTGCCCCCACCTTGGACCAGGAATATCTGGGAGCATCCCAAATCCAAGGGGAAGACACACGGAGTGAGAATTCACCACAAAAAAATGGGATTTTTGGGGTGAGAAAGTCACTTTCTCATCCATCCTGGTGGAACCAGGACAGACCAACTGACATCCCATGGAATTCCCTGCCCTGACCTTGGACTTGGAGATGATCAGGAATATCTGGGAGCATCCCAAATCCAAGGGGTCATTAATTCCCACCTGTCCAGGAGGGGGGACTGGGAATTCACCACCAAAAATGGGATTTTTGGGGGGAGAGAAAGGCACAATCCTGGTGGGAAAAAACAACATTCCATGGAATTCTCTACCCTCACCTTGGACCTGGAGATGACCAGGAATATCTGGGAGCATCCCAAATCCAGGGGAACACTAATTCCCAACCGTCCAGTGTCAGGGACTGGGAATTTACCACCAAAAATGGGATTTTTGGGGGCAAAAAGGCCCTTTTTGGGAGAGGGACAGATGGGAAACGAGACAGGGCCGGCCCAATCGACATTCCCACGGAATTTTCCTCCCTCACCTTGGATCTGGAGATGAAAAGGAGTATTTGGGAGCATCCCAACACTCAATCCAGCAAGTGGGACTGGGAATTTACCACAAAAAATGGGATTTTTGGGGCCAGAAAGGCACTTATTGGGAGAGAGACGGATGGGAAACGAGACAGGGCCGGCCCAATCGACATTCCCACGGAATTCCCATGGATCTGGAGATGAAGGGGAAGCTCTGGGAGTATCCCAAATCCAGGGGAAGACACAAGGAGTGGGAATTTACCACAAAAAATGGGATTTTTGGGGGCCAGAAAGTCACTTTTTGGGAGAGGGACGGATGGGAAACGAGACAGGGCCGGCCCAATCGACATTCCCACGGAATTCCCATGGATCTGGAGATGAAGAGGAAGCTCTGGGAGCATCCCAAATCCAGGGGAAGACACAAGGAGTGGGAATTCACCACCAAAAATGGGATTTTTGGGGGCAAAAAGGCACTTTTTGGGATGGGGGTGGATGGGAAACGAGACAGGGCCGGCCCAATCGACATTCCCACAGAATTTTCCTCCCTCACCTTGGACCTGAAGATGAAGAGGAATATTTGGGAGCATCCCAACCCTAAATCCAGCATGAGGGACTGGGAATTTACCACAAAAAATGGGATTTTTGGGGCCAGAAAGGCACTTTTTGGGAGAGGGACAGATGGGAAACGAGACAGGGCCGGCCCAATCGGCATTCCCACGGAATTCCCATGGATCTGGAGATGAAGAGGAGGCTCTGGGAGCATCCCAAATCCAGGGGAAGACACAAGGGGTGGGAATTCACCACAAAAAATGGGATTTTTGGGGGCCAGAAAGGCACTTTTTGGGATGGGGCTGGATGGGGACAAGACAGGGATGGCCCAATCGACATTCCCACGGAATTCCCATGGATCTGGAGATGAAGAGGAAGCTCTGGGAGCATCCCAAATCCAGGGGAAGACACAAGGAGTGGGAATTCACCACAAAAAATGGGATTTTTGGGGCCAGAAAGGCACTTTTTGGGAGAGGGACGGATGGGAAACGAGACAGGGCCGGCCCAATCGACATTCCCGCGGAATTTTCCTCCCTCACCTTGGACCTGGAGATGACCAGGAATATTTGGGAACATCCCAAATCCAAGGGGAAGACACAAACCAGCACCAGGGACTGGGAATTTACCACAAAAAATGGGATTTTTGGGGGCAAAAAGGCACTTTTTGGGATGGGGGTGGATGGGAAACGAGACAGGGCTGGCCCAATCGACATTCCCGCGGAATTTTCCTCCCTCATCTTGGATCTGGAGATGAAAAGGAGTATTTGGGAGCATCCCAACACTCAATCCAGCAAGAGGGACTGGGAATTTACCACAAAAAATGGGATTTTTGGGGCCAGAAAGGCACTTTTTGGGATGGGGGTGGATGGGAAACGAGACAGGGCCGGCCCAATCGACATTCCCACGGAATTTTCCTCCCTTTACCTTGGACCTGGAGATGAAGAGGAAGCATCCAGCCAGGAGCAGCCCCTGCAGGGTGGCCTGGAAGTCGCTGAACTTGACCCCCTCGAGGTAGAGGACGCTCTGGCTGTAGGCCAAGATGAGGGCGTTGAGGGCCAGGATCTTGAACATCTGCAGCGTCGTCACCAGAGTGCAGCGGCCCTGCTTGATCACGTGGCAGACTGAGGGCAAAATCAGAGGAAAAATGGGAACAGAGGTGGGGAAAATGGGAATAGAGGGGAGGGAAAGAGGGAAAAATGGGAATAAAGGGGAGGGAAAGGGGGTTTGGGGCTGAGGGAGCCAATGGCGTCACCAGAGTGCAGCGG